AAAATAAAACTAGTGATAACAAGGCGCTCTGATTGTTTTTGTTGTAGAATACGATAGGGGATATATTCACACGTTATAGAAACGAAAATGATGGTGTATAAAATTGATTTTAAGATAAAAAATAGACAATAAAGAATTAACTTGACGGAACTCAAACTCAAAACACACGGCAGCAACAAACAGGAATGACCACTTTTATCTCTTCCTCAGGTCTAACATCTGCCTCAGATTTTTTAAAAAGCTTTCAATGAAATTGTGCTGTGAATTCTTTTACTTGTGTGTGTGTGTGTTTATTTTTGCAGAATCGTATTGCCTTTATATTTGTACTGTCCTTTATCACTTCGTATCCTCAATACATTAGTGTGGATCATTATTAAGAGGATTTCTGCAGAGCTCAAAGAAATTACAAAATACGTATTTATATTATTCTTTTACATTCTGATAGAGTAGTAAATATGTTACTCAAGTCAGTACTACAGTACTTTTCCATTAATTTATCATTTATTGTACATTCATGTTAATGGGTCAAAGAAGAATCATTTCATAACATAGCTGGCATAAATATGCCTGGAAATGCAATCATACTCTATAAACCATATACTCTTTGTTAAAGTGACTCTCTAGTTCCCTCTAAGGTTATATTGGCTGGATCCGAACTGAGCAATGATTGAGAAACTAGAGTTTTGATTGATCTGATTGCTGTCTGATTAAAGATGCACATTTACACTGGAGCACTTCATATAAACCGATCTACCGTTTGCTATCTGCAAATATTGCAGTATGTGCTATGTGTAAATAACAGAGTTCATTTATGTAATGATGCTAAAGAGGAAATATTAAGGCATCTTTTTTTCAAGGAAAAATTGATTCCTCATGATATACAAGCTGTTATTCTCTGATTGATTTATGTAAGGTCTGCCATCAGAGGGCAGTGTTGATCTTACCTGCGACGCTGAGGAATCTGGGAAATAATGAGACTCAACTCAACCAATGAATGTAAGACAAGTCTCTTCTCATCTTGGTCACCAGTCTAGACAAGGCCCTTCTCCATCAGTTGCTCAGATTGGCCAGGAGGCCAGCTCTAGGGAGAGTTCTGGTTGTTTCAAATGTCTTCCATTATGGATAATGAAGGCTACAAGATTCTGTGACCCTTCAATGCAGCAGAATTTTTTTCTGAACTCTTCCACAGATGTGTGGCTTAATGCAAACCTGTTTCTGAGCTCTACAGGCAGTTTTTTTTACCTCCGGGCTTGGTTTTTGATCTGATATGCATTATCAGCTGTTAGACCTTTTATTAAGACGTGTGTGCCTTTCCAAATCATACCCATTCAAATGAATTTGCCACTGATTATTTCCACTCAAATGGTAGTAACATCTACAAGCAATATGAATGCTCCTGAGATAAATTTCAACTGTCCCAGAAATTGAATCGTTTCAGTTTTTTATTTCTAATAAATTTGCAAAGTTGTTACAAACCTACTTTTTGCTTTGTCGTTATGGTTTATGGAGTTTAGATTGATATGGAGGAAAAAAGTTATTTAAAGCAGTTTAACATAAGGCTGCAACATAACAAAACGTGAAAAAAATGAAGGTGTTTGAATACATTTTATAGGCACTGTAAATAAGCACATCAACTGGCACAATACATACATTATCCATTATCAGTCGCTGTTTACACTGAATGTAATAAAATCAGAATATTTTTTGTTACTGATGTTTTAATAAGGCTACTTGTCCAGTCGGGTGAGTAAAATTCTCTTTCAGTTGCCCATCAATAAATCCACTCGTCTCTGACAAGCGATAACATCGAGTCCTGACTAACCAAGCATTGTCACTCATCTCAACCTTCAGAGAGTAACTTATAGTGTTACATCAAACTTCAGCGTCATAGTAACTAAGTGTCGTTTTACAATAACTCAAAACTGCATTGCTGTGAGAGGTGCTGTTTCTTTTCTGTTTTGTCTGACTTTTGTTTGGTATTTTCAAACTTGAAAATCTGGTTCTCAGATGACTTTTTTTTCATAATTTTTGAAAACACATTTCTTTCAGTAAACATCTCTCGCTGTAAGTCTTATTGTTTCTCAAGCTGACAATCAGGTTTAATCAGTTTGTATGAGGAAAACAGAAACTCGTCAGTGCGTCAAACTGACTCCGGGTGACGCTCATTGTGATCGGGCTGGTTGTTCCACAGCAGAATCAGTAAATCATGTATCTGTATGGACGTCTCTCTTGTCCTTAAAAACAAGCACCATCAGTTTGCGGTTCGAGTCTTGTGTTTCTGTGTCAGAACAGAACCAAGAGTCCAACTTGTCTTTTGGTTGTTTCCTAAAATGTATTCAAATCATTTGTGATTTGGTGAACAATAAAACTGTTCAATAAAATTCCACCGATTCTTTCATTGCTCAAATAGGTTTAGAAGATTTTTAGTGTCACGTAAGAGTTTCACGAGCCTGTCATGTGTAGTATTGTGTCCAGACGGACCAAGGAACTTATATATCAACCCAAACCTCATTCAGGACAGTGTATGTTGTCAGTATGACTTTATTATTTGCATTAAATGTTGTAAAGCTGATGTCTATTGACACTCATGATTAATATAAAATAATAATTGGGGTTTTCTTCACCTTTTTAGTTTCAGATCAACAATAGTTTATCTTTTTGTAAAATAGCTCTACCAAAGCACCATCCAGCGTAATCATTTGCATCTTATGCTCTTTATTTCTTCATCCATTCATCGTGTTCATTTAGTCGTTGCATTAATTATTCTTGTCTATTGTTTTATTAATAAAATGTGTTACATTTGTGCATTTTTTATGTCGATAATACAGTAAGAAGTTCTACAGTGATCCAGGTCCTCACAGATCTTTCAGATTAGATGACAAATAAATACTCTGCATATTTTTTATTTTATTTATTGAACAATCCTCCCTCTTCCTTTTTGAAATTCCTAAGCTGGTGTCTTGAGATAAAGGAGGAGTCACCTGAATCTGCTTTGGTCACGTGGTACAAAAGTTGGAACTGTCAGAAAATTCTGAGTTTACAAGTTACAAGAGTTCTGTGAGAAAGTGAGTTTTTACAAGTTGGAGTAATTACAGTAATTCCCACACGGCGTGAACGCATCTAAAGTCTATACAAGGAAACAATTCACCTCCCGAGACTCTCTTCTGGTCCGAGTCGGTTTTTCACACTTTAAAACAAATCTATAATCATAATAATATAATAAAATAACATTTTAGATCACCAGCACTTTCAGACACACACAAACTCTAAATATTTTCTAAATTAAATAATTAGCTTTCTAAATACTCCAATATTCCTGTAGATCACACTCTGTCTTTAAAGATATTGGGGTACATAAATGATTTTAGACTGCATTTTGAGGAGGTTTAACTTTAAAAATCAGTTTGCATTTGCATAATTGAGTTTAAAATAGGACCACCTGAATTAATCGGACCCTTTACTCCTGATAAATGTCATACTGAAGACAACGTTATTAGTGCGATAAAATAATTCATTACTAAGAATAAGGAGATTATAGAGGAGCTATACACAGGAGCTATACACAGATAGTGTGTATATTACATTTTACTAATAGAAGTCCCTATTTAGGCAGAAAAAAAAATCATGATTCTTGTATAATTCAGTTATCCGATTTCTCTGAGAAAATGAACAGTACTTATAATATTAAGGTTCATAATATCTGCCTGAACATTTATGGTGCAACAGGGAGGACTATAATTAATGAAGTAATAAAACTGAGTAGTGATCCTTTGAATAAAAATATATTACAATGGTTAAAATAAATGATTAACAAAGACACCCCACTTTTCACAGATGAACTGTAACGGGGCTGACGAGACGTGAGATGTGTGGATCCATCTGCAAGCTTTATTTCAAGAGACGTGGTATAACAGGCAGGGTCAAAACACTGGCAAACAGGTATATGGCGGGCAAAACACAAGAATAGTCACAGGGCTAGCGTAGGTCACCGATAAGCAGACAGAATCACAGGGGCGAGACGAGAGGGAGAAATCCAAGAAAACAGGCAAAGATCAGAAACCACAAGAACAGGCAAGGCAAAACAAGGAAAACACGGAGACTCGGAAAGGGGTACAGGCTAAACAATACTCAGCCGAGAATGGTGGTTTGAGTGGGTGTTATATAGTGAGTGAGGTGATTAGAAACAGCTGTGTGCAATCAGTGCAGTGTGCAAATCGTGCAAGCAGAAGGAACAGGAAACCCCCCCGGTGAACCACACCGACCAGGAGACCATGGCGGAGACTGTAACAACGAGAGAGCAGAGACAGACAACACAGACAGAACATTGGGGTTGATAGACAAGGCTGCGCATTCAGAGGCAGCCTCCTTGGCTGGGTCGGGACAGGACAGAAGTTCACAAACGGCCTTCATAACCGTGACAGGACAGGATGAGGATTCCCAGACGACCTCCTTGGCTGGAACAGAACAGGCAGATCGTTCATTGACGGCCTCCTTGGCCGGAACAAGACGGACAGAGAGTTCACAGGCGGCCTCCTTGGCCGGAACAGGACGAGCAGAGAGTTCATAGACGGCCTCCTTGGCTGGAACAGACCAGACAGAGAGTCCATAGGCGGCCTTCTTGGCCGGAACAGAACAGACAAAGAGTTCATTGACGGCCTCCTTGGCCGGAACAGGACAGGCAGAGAGTCCATAGGCGGCCTTCTTGGCCAGAACAGAACAGACAGAGAGTTCATATGCGGCCTCCTTGGCCGGAACAGAATGAGCGGAGAGTTCATAGATGGCCTCCTTGGCCGGAACAGAACAGACAGAGACCCCCATATGGGAAGTGCTGCAGACAGGGGAATGAGTTCATGAATAGAAGGGTTAGAGTGAGTGATTTTGGGGATACCAGCGGTGCGTGAAGACACCAGCGGTGCATCCCTCACACTGGATACCAGACTGGGATACCGAAGGGCTGACTTTGAGAATCTGGGTGTGACAGACGGGACGTGACATGACTCTGGATGATCAGCTGTGATGCAACGTGATTCTGGATGAATAACTGAGGCGTGACGTGACTCTGGACGAACAGCTGAGACATGGCGAGACTTTAGAAGATCAGCTGTGATGTAACGAGGCTCTGGCAGCTCAGCTGAGACTTGACTGGACTCATGACGATCAACTGCGACTTGACTTGACTCATGAAGATCAGCTGTGACTTGACTTGACTCAGGATGATCAACTGTGACCTGACTTGCCTCAGGATGATCAACTGTGACTTGACCTGACTCCTGAAGATCAGTTGTGACTTGACTTGACTCATGATAATGAACAGTAACTTGACTTGACTCATGACGATCAACTGTGACTAGACTCGACACATGACTATCAGCTGTGGCTTGACTGAACTCAGGAAGAACAGCTGTGACTAGACCTGACTCATGATAGTGAATTGTAACTTGACTTGACTCATGACTATCTGCTGTGCCTAGACTCGACTCAGGAAGATCAACTGTGACTAGACTTGACTCAGGAAGATC